TGGAATTGGCATCCCAAAGTGGTTTTGAGGCAGATAAGGGACAAGGCCGATAAGAAGCAGATCTGGCAGAGCTGGGGCAATACTTTGTATTGTTTTTATCACATTTCCTCCTTTCTGATGGGGCCCAACTGGCTTAACAAGGCAGCAGTTGTGAGAAGCAAGGCCAAACCGTGCTCATATCATTCAAAAGGGCCATAAACCTCCAAGGACCCCCGAATCATCCCCTGACTCCTTTCCACAGCGTAGCATCACACTGTGGAAAAGCCCACCCAGGGGAGGCAGTGGGGCATTCCCACAGCAGCCTGAATGAGTAGAACCCATCCAGCTCTTTGTGGCTCTGGCCCCCACCCCCCAGAGGATCAAGGCTACGGACATCAAAATTGCAGCTCTCATTGCCACATCCACATCTGGGGATCTCCTTCCTCTCCACTCGCTGCTCTTGTCCTTCCCTTCTCTTTCCTTCTGTCTTCTCCTTATAGTTTTTTCTTCTTGACTTTCCTCTACTTTTATAGAAAAGAACCAAAATGGTGACAAACATCCTTTCCACTGCAGCCAAGTTGGTTTAAAATAAACCTGCCTTGTACAGACACTGGTCATTCAGCAGCATGTCAATCCCAATGATCTATTAGAAGAACCAGGGTCACCCTCCCTCAGAGGTGGTAAAGAGAAGCCATGAACCTCTCATCATACCCCTAGGCTCTGTGAGATCATGGATTTCCATTTCACTGCTTTTTTATATTATTTATGCTCCAGCCCTTAATAACTGGCACTGCTCTGCCTTTCAGGTCACTGAGGCAGTGCCCATGTGTTTTCCAGACCTGTGCACTTCCTGGATGGAGAAGTGCTTGGAGTGATGATGAAGGAGCTCTGCTGCTCCTTGATCCAGCTCCCATGGGGTCTGTTCTGTAGGACAAACTTCCATTTCTTCAACCTGTAAAAAATCCTGTTGGATCCTCCAGTCTTCTCCCAGCTGGGAGCTCAGAGATGAGGGACTATTGATAAGCTTTCTATGTCATGTGTGAAAAGAACCAGAACTAGCAGCACTTTACTAGGGAAACTGTACTGAAGTCCAGACCTGGCTTCTCCATGTCAATCTTATCCTTATTCCTACCTTAGTTTTCTTTCTATCAGATGCTAAAGGCAGCTGTCCAACCTCATGCTCAAAGCTGCAGGAAGTAGCTGCCCAATAAAAGTGGCGTGATAGGGAAGTTTGGCCTTTGTATCCAGAAGCGGTTAAGCAAACATCAAATGTTGACCTTATTTCTTGATCTGACTTTGGGTGACAAACTTCTCTCTAACAAAATGAAATGTGCCTCTACTTTTTAAATCTAGTTAGCTGTAGAGAAATAAAAATCCATCATCCACTTTTTCTTCATTTAACTGGCCAACAATGACATTTTGTGTGCATGGATGAAAAATTAGAGGGAGGATTGTTTGCCATGTCTCCAGGCTTTCCAGCTTCTTTGGTGCCCTTGCAACAAACAGTGAGTAACATGTGAATAAAGAGATATTTGGTGTTTGATAAACTTAACATTCATCTTTTCTAATAGCTCCCAACAAGACAAAGCATTCAGTTAAGGGAATTGATTTCTTTTTTTTTCCTTTTAGTATGTGAGACACTGTAGGATGATGAACAACAGCTGCTGAGCTGAGAAGTTCAGGCTCAAGCTGGTACCTCTGGAAGTGACACAGCTTGTATGAGCTGTTTGCAGCCTGATCCACTTTGTTCATGCCCATTCCTTGGAGAAGTAACTGCAGTCTGATGGGGACACTTTAGGACATGCTATGGCATCTTTACATTGGATTTGGACACCCCTCCTGCTGCAAGGATGCTCTGGGTACTGTGACATCATTGGTGGTGGAAATTTCAGCAAGAAGCAACATGTGGTTTATATATGACAGTTCAATCCAGCACTGGAGCAAATGATTTTTATTGCAAACTACTCAGGAACTCCATGATCTCACACACACTGACCTTTTGATTGACACCCTGAATGCATTGATTAGAATGACTCCACTGAATACATGTCACAAAATCATTTAGCCATAAACCTACAGAAAAGGTTCAGAAGCAGAGCAGTTTATTGCAGAAATTTATCTCTGACTGGTCAAGGCTTCCTCTATATCTGATGCCTGAGCCTGCCTATCTCATAGCTTCTACAATTTGCGGGTTTTAAAAGCAAGCAAACAAAACCTCATCCCAGGATCACAGAATCACTGAACTGTTGAGGTTTGGAGGGACCTCTCAAGATCTCCTAGTCCAGACCCCTGCTCAAGCAGGGTCAGCTAGAGCAGGTTGTCCACGATCAGGTCCACTTGGGGTTTGAGCCTCTCCAGCAATGGAGACTCCACAGCACCTGAGGTGGGCAACCTGAGCCACCCTAGTCCCACAGCCTTCCTCAGGAGGTGAGGGATGAGTCAGCAGCACAGTCTCAGGGACAGCTGATGAGGAGAGGAAGGAACTAAGACCTGTATGTGGGCATGGAGCAAAAGGCAAACCAGGCCCTTCTGGTCTCAGTGAGAAGCTCTGATTTCCTTGTCCATGGGCTTTTATCCAGCTGTTCCCTCCAGAGTGCCAGGACAAGGAAGCACCCCTAAGAGCTCTGTGCCAGGATGGGCAGCAAAGCAAACCAGCTGCAGGCTCTGCCCACCTCTTTCTCGTTTTTATCAGAGCAGGAGGAGGAGTTGTCCTGAGGGACAGAGCTGGAAACACACAGAGAAGGGAGCAGGATGGACACTTCACAGGACATTTGTCTTCCTCTACTCTGCTCTTGTGAGACCCCATCTGCAGTGCTGCCTGCAGCCCTGGGCCCACAACATGGAAGGGACACAAACCTGTTGGGGTGGAGTCCAGAGGAGGCCACCAAGGTATTCTGAGAGCTGGAGCACCTCTGCTCTGGAGACAGGGTGAGAGAGCTGCGTGTGTTGAGCTGGAGAAGGCTCTGAGGAGAATTTAGATCCCATTCCAGTACCTGAAGGGTCTCTGGGAAAGTTAGAGTGGGACAAGGGCATGGAGTGACAGGAGAAGGTGGAATGGCTTTAAACTGAGAGAGGGCAGGGTCAGACTACATAGCAGGGAGAAATTCTTCCCTGTGAGGGTGGTGAGGCCCTGGCACAGGTTGCCCAGAGAAGCTGTGTCTGCCTCATCCCTGGAAGTGTTGAAGGCCAGGTTGGACATGGCTGTGAGCAAGCTGGTCTAGTGGAAGGTGTCCCTGCTATTTTGCAGGGAGGTTTGGAACTGGATGATCCTTGAGGTCCATTCCAACTCCAAGCATTCTATGATTCTGTGACATGTGGGAAAAGCAATCGAGCCTTTTACATCAGGATGTGAGGCTTATATACGGGGACAGTCCACGTGAAAGAGGGAAACATTTTGCACTCCATACAGGTTGGCCAATTTGACCTCCAGCTGCCCCAGAGTGATGATATCGACCTGGTTCTGGTTGTTCTGGGCAATGGCAGCCCAAGCACTCCTGTTGTTGTTGTTGGTCTCGCAGCAGGCACCGGACCAGATGTGGCTGGGTATATTCACCCTGTCACGGCTGATGGAGGAGTTCCCAGGCACAGCCCCCACAATGACGTAGGTGGTTTGACAGCCCTGGCTTTTACTGTGCATCGTTTGCTGCTCGTAGTTTTTCCAGGCGACTCGGTTGAGTGTTGGGTACATGGGCACTATGTTGGTGAGGGTGAAGGTCGCATTCCTGCTGTCCAGGCTGCTGTGGTGGCCATTGGGGTTCAAATGGCCACGGTCCCAACCACTGCGGTAATAGTCTACCCTGACAGCCTGGCTATCAATGATCTTCTGTATTGTGACATGGTATTGATTTCTGAGGGTCCGCACTGTTTTCATGTTTCTGGACAAGTTTGAACGTATCAGCTAGACAGGTAAAGAAGAAGAAAAGGTGTTACTATTGGGGATGGCAGGAATGGAGCAGGTTTCCCTGGAGCAGAAGTCTCCAGGTGTCAAGAACACAGTTTTTCTCATCTCAGTCTTTCTAAACATATGAATCTGAGAGAAATCTACAGCTGTCCCTTCTGGAGGAACACAAGAGCTTTTAAGACAAAAGAAGCTCAGAATATGACTGCTCTCCTTTTGACTTGGGACCTTTGTGATCCAGCCTGCAGCCTGTGCTAGGAGTGTGGCTGCATCCATGAGACAAGGAGCATTTTCCATTCTGGCTTTGAAAGCAGAAAGGTCTTGGGTGAGAAACCTTCCCTGACACAGCTGGTTCCCTTTCAACCTGTCTCCAAACCCACTGTATCTCAGATCCTCCCATCCCCACTCTCTCATTCTCTGATTCCTTGTGTGGCTGCTACAGGTGTAGCACATTCCTGGAACACCAGTGTTTGCCTCCTGTAACCCCAGACACAGGGAGATGTGTTGAGAAACCAGTCCTAGAGGTGAGGTTTCCCAGGAGGGGGGCTATAAGTCACTACAAGGATAAAGGTTGTTTGTTCATTCATGAAAAAGACCTCAATGCAAATGGAATCTGCTACTGCAGTCCTAATAATGTGCTCAGAGCTGATCTGGGCCAGGGAGCATCTTCTGCAGCCTCACTGCAAAGAAGTTAGAAATGATCAGGCTCTCCAAGGAGCTCACAATTCCCAAAGAGTCCTGAGGAACCCAAGTACTGAAAAAGGACCTCTGGAGAAAGTTACCAAAATCAGAGATTTTGTAGGTGGCCTGGCTCCGTGGTCCAGGAGGAAAAGGATCAGGTTGGATGGGGCTCTGAGCAACCAGGTCTAGTGGAAGATGGCCCTGCCCATGGCAGGGGGTTGGAATGAGATGATCTTTGTGGTTCTTTCCAACACAAACCCCTCTATGATTCTAAGATTCTATGAAAAGGGAGAAGCTTTTATCCCTGCCCTAAATGTGGAGGCTGCAGTGGTGCAATATCCTATTAGTTGTTTGAATTCCAATGAGTACAAAGTGCAAATGTTGGGGTTTTTTTAGAACTCCAACACTTTTCTGTTCATCTTTGGGGAAACATATTTATTCTCCCTCGGGAACAGGGCACATGGCTTTCTTCTCTGGTTCATGAACACCTACATTCCATCCTGCTACTCTGTCCTTAGCAATGACCTTAACTTCCTCTCTTTCTGTTCCGTACTTTCCTAGGTCTTTTTTACTGGCGGACTGAAGGACATTTGGGAGAGCTCTGTTGTTTGTGGAGATCTGTGTGTCTGGTGGATCCTTCTGAAGCAAGCCTGAGGCAACAGTGCTCAGGGGCAACTACCCATGGATGGAGATCACCCCCTTCTGACTGGACTGACACTGATGCTCCTCACTTTTCACTGCCTGAAATATCCCTCAATAAATTCCTCAGTGTTCAACAAACCCTCTCATCACTCAGTGCCTGGCTCATCCCACCCAATTCTGAGTTTCTCCTCACTTCTCTCCTATCACTTACAAAGCCTATTTGACTCCTAACTGGGAGCAATTAAGCTCTGTCAAGGATGCAAAACAGCTCAGGGCAAAGTGGAGATCCCAGCCCAGCAAGACTGTTGCTCCCCCAAATTTAGCTGCTGTTGGATGACTTTTCCCCATCACTGGGTCTTCCAGCACAGCAGGGCACAGAGAGGGAGGTATTATTGACCTTGGAATGGAATGGAATGGAATTGGACTTGATGTTGCTCTCAGGTCGTTGCAGAAAACTGGGCCCCTTTGGGATAGGACTCATCTCCTCCTCCTGCTGATGTTTGAAATGCATCAGAGGATCCATGTGGTGCAGGTTTCTGAAGTAAGATGAGAATAATCCCACCCAGTGGCTTCATTTGCATGTGTGTGTATGGGGGTGGGAGGAAATAGAGCTGTTTGGTTAAATGCTGCAGTTCATCTCTTAGTAACTGCAGAGTGACATGCTGCAAGAGAGGACACTCACCTGGGGCTCCACCGTCCATGTGTGTTTTGTGGTCAAATTTGCAGGCTCGTAGATGTAAGCAGAGTACACAGGAATACGCTTCTCTTTGTCGTACAAGGTGGCAAAGAATTGCTGGTTGTTTAAGGTCTGGCAGATCCTGGCTGGTCTCTGTGGTGTCAGGGCATTATCTGGGATGACACTCTGGTAGAAAAACTGTAGACAGCTTTCAAAGGATGTCACCACCTCACCCTGTCCCTCCCAGAGGCAGCTCGCCCAGACCTGCAGCAGCAGCAGCCACAGCATGGCAGGAGGATTTCAGGCTCTTACTCCCCTGGAAGGCAAATGCAGAGGGAAACTCAGCTTGGAGAGAGCTGACCATGGCCTGGAGTCATTTTTGGTGACGCAGCTGGCTGACAAGGGGACTATGAGACACCATGGAGGGGATAACTTCTGTCCTCCTGGCTGTGGAAAAATCACCAGGGTAAACAGGGTGAAATCTCAAATAGGGTTAAGGTGCCTACAGGGGTAGCAGATTCATCTCATCTTATCCAAGATTTATCTGAGGAGGGATCTGAGCCTACCCCATATGCAATCAGCTCTCACAGCACAGTTATCTGAAACTGAGGCACAGCAGTGGGACAAGGTCACATTTTTCGGCCCACCTGAGTTGGTCAAGAGCTCAGCTTCTGCACTGGCATTGGAGAAAAAAGCCTGAAGCAACCCAGAGCCTGGAAGCTCTTCTCTCTCAACATCATCTCTCTCCCTTCTCCTCTGAGGACCTTCCCACAGCAGACACTCAGCTGACATTGGGAAACCTGTCCTGCTGCTCAGCTTGCATTGTCTTGGTGTCCATCCCCAGACTATGACCTTGCACACCTGGATACAGAAAATGAAGGAGCCAAGCAGATGGGAGCCACAAACACGAGGGAGAACACCTTTATCTTATTTGTATTGTGGCTGCTGCAATGCAAATACTGAGGGGCAGCTCTTGCCAGTGCAGATGTGGCTTCTCCATGTCAATGTTGTCCTGATTTCCACCTCAGTTTTCTTTCTATCAGATGCTACAGGCAGCTGTCCAACCTCATGCCCAAAGCAGGGAAAGCTGGGAGGTAGCTGAGCAAATGCAGGGAACGGAAAAACCTCTTGTAAGCGCAGTACTGGAAAAAGGGAATTTTGAAGCCTTACAGGAGAGTAGAATGTCCAAACCTGCCCTTTCCATTCTGTGGAGAGAAAAAGCTGTCTCGAGAAATGAGTTTGGGTATGAAGACACTCAAAACTGAGAGCCTGCTTACAGGTGTTTGACTTCTAGACCCTTCAAAGCCTTCTGCAAAAAATCCAACCCCTCTCTTGGTGATTCTGTTTTTAGGAGATGGGATATCTCTGGAAAGACATTGCAGGCCAAGCCACACCACTGATGGGATAACCCCTTTAAGTTTCAGAGCACCTCTTTCCCAAGTACCCCTTGCAATGTGGTCAAACAACCCCAGCAATGCCTATTTAACAAGCTGTCAGGGTGGGCTGAGAGGGCGCATCATGTACTGGTTTTGGTGTTGAATTATGCTAAAAGCACTCTGACACATCACTCCCAAAGTAACATCCTGACAGTCAGGCAAAATTTGGCAGAGAAGCTGATAAACTGACCTGGAGACGCACTACTGGTAGTCAATCAGTTTACACTCTAGAAGCCCAGTCCACTTTCATACCATCAGATTCTTCTCAGATACTCTTCTTGGAGTGTGTGCAGATTGTCCCTTCAAGTGGAGATGCTTTTTTGAGGGTACTCCTCGAGGTTAAGAGATAGAGATCTGCCCATAAGTGTTGGTATGGTGAGTTACACCAATCCCTAATTAATGATTGCTTTGTCTTGCTAGCCTTCATATTAGCTTTTACATTGTGTAGTAACTAGTTCTGATTAATGTCCTTTGTCTGATCATTTGTCATATTAAAAATTTTATTTCTGTAAATATACCTGGTTTGACATCTCTAACCCTGTGGGACAGTCATACTGAAAACCATTGACAAAATCTGACCAGTGAGGAGGAAACTCAGAACACGAGACACAAGCTGTGGCTTTTTACAGCGCTCTGCAGAGCAGGACCATCTCTGCCCCAAATCAAGCAGAGAAGTTCCTGAGGAGTCCTTTTAATTCATCTCCTCTTATGAGCTTAAAATATATCTCACTTACTCAATATCACACATATAGAAACCAACTTACTGTGGGAAAGATTGGCTCAGCACTCTGCTCACAGCCCCAGCATCCATAAACTCATTTCTCCATGGAAGGCAGATGTTGGAGCTCAGCAACTCCAGCCTACGCTTTGTCTGATCTATTTCTTCCAAAGCTAAGGAATCACTTGAAATACTGGAGTCAGTGTTGAGGAAGGAGCAAGAGCTTACCTTGAAGCAGAGTGTCAGAACAGGCAGCTGAGCCGCTCCTTGCCTCTTCTCCCTGGAGAAACAGTTGACAGATCCCTCAGGAGTCCCACTGCAATATATACCCAGTTGTAAATCTGATAAACACAGAATTTCAAAGAAAAGAGAAGTTTTCTGTTGTTACTCGGGGAAGATTTGTTCATCCTTGTGCAGAAATGGGGTGACAGTTGTTATTGGCAATTTCTTCTGGTTTTCCCCAAAGGTAGCTGACTTGAAGCAACAGGTCAGGAGCAGTTGACCTGTTGGGTCTGGTGACATCCCTGTCCATTTCCTCATTCCCCATGGGCCACAGCCACTGCTGCTGCAGCACCTACACAGGTGTCTGTTCCTGGCAGAACATCTCTGGTGGCCTTAGACCGACCAACCAACCTGTCTGTGAGCACACCCAGATGTTCACAGTCAGCTCTTCTGCAGCCTCTCAGTATAGAATTAGTATGGCCAGGCCGCATATTTTCCCTTTCTGGACTGCCAAGGCTTTGTAAGAGCCTTTATTCATGCCACCACATTGTGGTTTGCTGACCAGGCCTCTGGGGCTAAATTAATAGCCTTTCCAGGTGAATCTTTAGAGCAATGCTCAATGAAGAGTTTGAGAGATGACTCTGTACAAGTGCATGGATTTAGGAAAATGGAAGAGAAGGATTGTTGTGCAGAAGAAAAATGGAAGAGCCAGTGTAGCAGCCAGCTATGGGGAAGAAACTCTAGGCTGTGAGGGTGGTGAGACAGTGGCACAAACTGTCCAGAGAAACTGTGGCTGCCCCATCCCTGGAAATGTTCAAAGGCAGGTTGCATGGAGCTCTGAGCAGCCTGGTCTAGTGGAAAGTGTCCCTGCCCATGGCAGCAGATTGGATCCAGATAATCTTTCAGGGCCCTTCCCACACTCAGAGTGTTCTGTGAGTCTTTAATCATTCATTCACTGCTAAACTGGACTCATTTTCACCCACTTCCAAAAGTCCAGGAATACTGGAAAACAAGTTGGTTGTCACAACCAGAAATGACCAGAAGAAGTGTGAAAGACTGAAGAAGTGTGTTTAAAGAAAGTCGTTGAGTCCTGTGGTTTATTTTCTCCCTGATAATCTGGAATTGGCATCCCAAAGTGGTTTTGAGGCAGATAAGGGACAAGGCCGATAAGAAGCAGATCTGGCAGAGCTGGGGCAATACTTTGTATCGTTTTTATCACATTTCCTCCTTTCTGATGGGGCCCAACTGGCTTAACAAGGCAGCAGTTGTGAGAAGCAAGGCCAAACCGTGCTCATATCATTCAAAAGGGCCATAAACCTCCAAGGACCCCCTGAAGCATCCCCTGACTCCTTTCCACAGCGTAGCATCACACTGTGGAAAAGCCCACCCCAGGGGAGGCAGTGGGGCATTCCCACAGCAGCCTGAATGAGTAGAACCCATCCAACTCTTTGTGGCTCTGGCCCCCACCCCCCAAAGGATCAAGGCTACGGACATCAAAATTGCAGCTCTCATTGCCACATCCACATCTGGGGATCTCCTTCCTCTCCACTCTCTGCTCTTGTCCTTCCCTTCTCTTTCCTTCTGTCTTCTCCTTATAGTTTTTTCTTCTTGACTTTCCTCTACTTTGATAGAAAAGAACCAAAATGGTGACAAACATCCTTTCCACTGCAGCCAAGTTGGTTTAAAATAAACCTGCCTTGTACAGACACTGGTCATTCAGCAGCATGTCAATCCCAATGATCTATTAGAAGAACCAGGGTCACCCTCCCTCAGAGGTGGTAAAGAGAAGCCATGAACCTCTCATCATACCCCTAGGCTCTGTGAGCTCATGGATTTCCATTTCACTGCTTTTTTATATTATTTATGCTCCAGCCCTTAATAACTGGCACTGCTCTGCCTTTCAGGTCACTGTAGGCAGTGCCCACGTGTTGTCCAGACCTGTGCACTTCCTGGATGGAGAAGTGCTTGGAGTGATGATGAAGGAGCTCTGCTGCTCCTTGATCCAGCTCCCATGGGGTCTGTTCTGTAGGACAAACTTCCATTTCTTCAACCTGTAAAAAATCCTGTTGGATCTTCCAGTCTTCTCCCAGCTGGGAGCTCAGAGATGAGGGACTATTGATAAGCTTTCTATGTCATGTGTGAAAAGAACCAGAACTAGCAGCACTTTACTAGGGAAACTGTACTGAAGTCCAGACCTGGCTTCTCCATGTCAATCTTATCCTCATTCCTACCTTAGTTTTCTTTCTATCAGATGCTAAAGGCAGCTGTCCAACCTCATGCTCAAAGCTGCAGGAAGTAGCTGAGCAACTGACCCAGGTGACACCTGGAACACACTTTGTATCACCAAAGATCACACTGTCAGGCTATTGATGCACTCTGCAGGGTCCTCAGGTGTGTGGCACAGCATTCCTGAACACCTCATCACCTCCTGGCCCTTGAAGGTGCAGGGCCGATGGACCTGGACCAAAGTGCTGTTCTCCAGAAGCAAAGAACAGTTTGCTCAGGTGCCATGAGGCACAGCAAGGGTGAACCTGAGTGCAGGGAGAGGAATTTCACAGGAACCCATCCAGATACCCAAGAGATAAGTAGTTCCTCAGAAATCAAAGGAGGTGTAACCTTATAAAAGTGGCATGATAGGGAAGTTTGGCCTTTGTATCCAGAAGCGGTTAAGCAAACATCAAATGTTGACCTTATTTCTTGATCTGACTTTGGGTGACAAACTTCTCTCTAACAAAATGAAATGTGCCTCTACTTTTTAAATCTAGTTAGCTTCTCACATTAGAGGGATGGAGCACCTCTCCTACGAGGAAAAGCTGAGAGAGCTGGCTTTGCTCAGCCTGGAAAGGAGATGTCCTTGGGGTGACCTAAAGTACCTGTGGCCATTCAGTACCTGAAGGGAGCCTACAAGAAAGCTGGAGAGAGACTATTTCCAAGAGCATGGAGTGACAGGACCTAATGGAGTGGATTCAAAATAAAAGAGCATGAGTTTAGATTAGGTATTAGGAGGAAGTTCTTTGCTGTGCGGGTGCTGAGGCCCTGGCACAGGTTGCCCAGAGGAGCTGTGTCTGCCCCATAGCTTGAACCAGCGTTATGCATAAAATGGCTTACGGAGCTAATTTAGTTTGCAGTGTTCCCTGTGGGTGGGAAGGGGGACAGGGTGGACAGAGGTGATGGGGAAGCAGCTCAGGTGTGCCTCTGTGCCCTGAAAGGGCAGGCAATCCTCCTGCAGCGTGGAGGAGGGACACAGATTCCCTTCAGTTCACTGCTCCTGTGGGAGTCATCCAGGGCCTGAGATGGTTGCCCTTGGGATATTGCTCAGCTGTGGCCCTGAGCCTGACAGCCCCACTGACATGACTCTCCTTACACCTTCCTGGAAATAAATCCTTTTCCCTATGTTTTGCATCTCTGGGAAAAAAAATATTCTACCTTGTTTGGAGTCTTTCTTGGGGTTGCTGCCACACATGCAGGAGGCAGATCTGACTGATTTGGAGTACAGGAAAACCCCCGAGGGTCTCGTGTTTAAAGACTATCCAAAAACTCTTTATGGAGTGCCAGTTGGATTGTTAACCACATGCAGACCATGGCACTGATGCCACATCCAGTCTCATCTTAAACACCTGCAGGGCTGGTGAATCCACCACCTCCCTGGGCAGCCCATTCCAATGACTGATTACTCTCTCTGTAAAAAATTTCTTTCTAATATCCAACCTAAACTTCCTCTGGCACAGCTTGAGACCGTGCCCTCTTGTCCTACTGCCGGTTCCCTGGAGCAGAGCCCAACAACCCCCTGGGCTCCCCGCTCCTGTCAGGGAGTTGTAGAGAGTGAGGAGGTCTCCCCTGAGCCTCCACCTCTCCAGGCTAAACAACCCCAGCTCCCTCAGCCTCTCCTCACAGGGCTTGTTTTCAAGTCCCTTCATCAGCCTCATTGCTCTGCTCTGGACCTGCCCCAGCACCTCAATGTCCTTCCTGAACACCTGAGGGGCCCGGAACTGGACACAGCACTCCAGGTGTGGCCTCATCAGAGCTGAGCCCAGGCTGATGCTGGATCCCTGCTCCTGCTGCCACACTCTTCCTGATTCAGGCCAGGATCCATTGGCCTTCTTGGCCACCTGGGCACACTGCTGGCTCCTGTTCAGCTTCCTGTCAATCCAGACTCCCAGCTCCCTTTCTGCCTGGCTGCTCTCCAGCCACTCTGTGCCCAGCCTGTAGAGCTGCAGGGGGTTGTTGTGGCCAAAGTGCAGGACCCGGCACTTGGCCCTGTTGAACCTCATCCCATTGGAATCAGCCCAACTCTCCAGCCTATCCAGGTCCCTCTGCAGAGCCCTCCTGCCTTCCACCTGATCAACACCATCCCCCCTCTCCCCCCAGTTTAGTGTCATCGGCAAATTTGCTAATGGTGGACTCAATCCCCTCATCCAGATCATCGACAAAGATGTTAAACAGGACTGGGCCCAGCCCTGACCCCTGGGGACACCACTGGTGACCAGCTGGATGCAGCCCCGTTCACCAGCACTCTCTGGGCCCGGCCATCAGCGAGTTCTTAACCCAGCACAGAGTGCCCCTGTCCAAGCCCTGGGCTGCAGCTTTTCCAGGAGTGTGCTGTGGGAGACGGTGTCAAAGGCTTGGCTGAAGGCCAGATAGACACATCCACAGCCTTTCCCTCATCCACCAGGCAGGTCACCTCAACAGAAAAGGAGATCAGGTTGGTCAGACACAACCTGCCCTTCCTAAACCTGTTCTGGATGGCTCTGATCCCTTGTCCATCCTGTAGGTGCTGTGTGATTGCACTTAGGATGATCTGCTCCATAACCTTGCCAGGCACTGAGGTCAGGCTGACAGGCCTGGTGTTTCCCAGGTCCTCCTTCTGGCCCCTGTTGTGGATGGGCGTGACATTCACCGACTTCCAATCATCTGGGACCTCCCCAGTGAGCCAGGACTGTTGGGAAATGATGGAGAGCAGCTTGGTGAGCACTTCCACCAGCTCCCTCATCACCCTCTTAAAAGCCTTTTCTTCTCTGTCAAACTCTTAGTCTGTATATTCAGGGTCCTTCTGTTTATCCCACACTGGGTTTTTGTTTCTCTAGGAATTGCCAGCCATGATTTTAGCCCTTTAAATGAAGAAAAAGCACTAAGGCACTAAAAAGAAAGAAGGAAAAGCACTCAAGACAGAAGAAGCTGTAGAGATACAAAAATCCATCATCCACTTTTTCTTCATTTAACTGGCCAACAATGACATTTGTGTGTATGGATGAAGAATTAGGAGGGAGGATTGTTTGCCATGTCTCCAAGCTTTCCAGCTTCTTTGGTGCCCTTGCAACAACAATGAGTAACATGTGAATAAAGAGATATTTGGTGTTTGACAATCTTAACATTCATCTTTCCTAATAGCTCCCAACAAGATAAAGTGTTGGGGAGCCCAGCTGGCTCTGGGCTCTCAGTAAACTGAGATACTGAAGATGGAACTTCTTACACCTGGCAGAGGGTTAACCACGGACAGTAGGACTGTGACACAGTGGGTTTCCTGTGAGGAATGTCAGCCTATTGTGTTAGGACATGTGGCTGTATGTCCAATCATAGGTTGTTATGATAGTGGTAAACCAATGCTGTGTGTACATGTGTCACCCCAGAACTGTATAAAGGTAGCTGTACTGTTGCAATAAAAAAGCTGCTGGTATCCTGAAATCCATGTCGCCTTCCCGCCTCGACCGCGACAATAAAGCATTCAGATAAGGGAAGTGATTTCTTTTTTTTCCTTTTATATGTGAGACACTGTAGGATGATGAACAGCAGCTGAGCTGAGAAGTTCAGGCTCAAGCTGGTACCTCTGGAAGTGACACAGCTTGTATGAGCTGTTTGCAGCCTGATCCACTTTGTTCATGCCCATTCCTTGGAGAAGTAACTGCAGTCTGATGGGGACACTTTAGGACATGCTATGGCATCTTTACATTGGATTTGGACACCCCTCCTGCTGCAAGGATGCTCTGGGTACTGTGACATCACTGGTGGTGGAAATTTCAGCAAGAAGCAACTTGAGGTTTATATATAAGATGACCCTGCAATCCAGCACTGGAGCAAATGATTTTTATTGCAAACTACTCAGGAACTCCATGATCTCACACACACTGACCTTTGGTTTGACACACTGAATGCATTGATTAGAATGACTCCACTGAATACATGTCACAAAATCATTTAGCCATAAATCTGCAGAAAAGGTTTCAGAAGCAGAGCAGAGAATGAAGCTATCCAAGCAGTTTATTGCAGAAATTTATCTCTGACTGGTCAAGGCTTCCTCTATATCTGATGCCTGAGCCTGCCTATCTTCATAGCTTCTACAATTTGCGGGTTTTAAAAGCAAGCAAACAAAACCTCATCCCAGGATCACAGAATCACTGAACTGTTGAGGTTTGGAGGGACCTCTCAAGATCTCCTAGTCCAGACCCCTGCTCAAGCAGGGTCAGCTAGAGCAGGTTGTCCACGATCAGGTCCACTTGGGGTTTGAGCCTCTCCAGCAATGGAGACTCCACAGCACCTGAGGTTGGCAACCTGAGCCACCCTAGTCCCACAGCCTTCCTCAGGAGGTGAGGGATGAGTCAGCAGCACACTCTCAGGGACAGCTGATGAGGAGAGGAAGGAACTAAGACCTGTATGTGGGCATGGAGCAAAAGGCAAACAAGGCCCTTCTGGTCTCAGTGAGAAGCTCTGATTTCCTTGTCCATGGGCTCTTATCCAGCTGTTCCCTCCAGAGTGCCAGGACAAGGACTCATCCCTAAGAGCTCTGTGCCAGGATGGGCAGCAAAGCAAACCAGCTGCAGGCTCTGCCCACCTCTTTCTCGCTTTTATCAGAGCAGGAGGAGGAGTTGTCCTGAGGGACAGAGCTGGAAACACACAGAGAAGGGAGCAGGATGGACACTGCACAGGACATTTGTCTTCCTCTACTCTGCTCTTGTGAGACCCCATCTGCAGTGCTGCCTGCAGCCCTGGGCCCACAACATGGAAGGGACACAAACCTGTTGGGGTGGAGTCCAGAGGAGGCCACCAAGGTATTCTGAGAGCTGGAGCACCTCTGCTCTGGAGACAGGGTGAGAGAGCTGCGTGTGTTGAGCTGGAGAAGGCTCTGAGGAGAATTTAGAGCCCATTCCAGTACTTAAAGGGTCTCTGGGAGAGTTGGAAAGGGACAAGGGCGTGGAGTGACAGGAGAAGGTGGAATGGCTTTAAACTGAGAGAGGGCAGGGTCAGACTACATAGCAGGGAGAAATTCTTCCCTGTGAGGGTGGTGAGGCCCTGGCAAAGGTTGCCCAGAGAAGCTGTGTCTGCCCCATCCCTGGAAGTGTTGAAGGCCAGGTTGGACATGGCTGTGAGCAAGCTGGTCTAGTGGAAGGTTTCCCTGCTATTTTGCACGGGGTTTTGAACTAGATGAACTTTGAGGTCCCTTCCCACCCAAATCATTCTGTGATTCTGTGACATTTGGGAAAAGCAATCAAGCCTTTTATACCCGGGATGTGAGGCTTATTAACGGGGACAGTCCGCATGGAACAGAGAAACCGCTCCCCTCTTATACAGCTGGGTCAACCTTCTCTCCAGTGCCCCCAGCCTGAGGACCTGGACGTTGTTCTGGTTGTTCTGGGCAATGGCTCCCCAAGCAATCACGTGGTTGGTGGTGTTCTTGCAGCAGGCACTGGCCCAGATGTGGCTGGGTATATTAACCCTGTTTTGGGAGATGGAGGAGGTCCCAGGCACAGCCCCCACAATGGCATAGGTGGTTTGACAGTCCTTGCTTTTCTTGGCCATTGTATTCTGCTCATAGAGGTTCCAGGCACCCTTGTTGAGTGCAGCGTCCTGGGGCACTATGTTGGTGAGGGTGAAGGTCGCAGTCTTGCCGTCCTGGGTGTGTTGATGGCCAGCGGGGCTCAAATGGCCACGGTCCAAATTGTTAAGGTGCAGGTAGTCTTGGTTGACAGCCTGGCTATTGCTGATATCCTTTTGGATGACTGAGTAATTTACTCTGAGGGTCGCCTCTGTTTGCATGTCTCTGGGCAAATTCCCACGGATCAGCTTGACAGGTAAGGAAGAGGTAAAGGTGTTAGTATTGGGGATGGGAGTAATAGAGCACGTGTCCCTGGAAAAGAAGTCTCTGAGTGTTAAGATCCTATTTTTTGTCATCTCAGTCTATGAGAATGCATGAATCCAAGACAAAATCCTATAGCTGTGACTCCTCAATGAACACTAAAGCTTTAAAAAAAGACTCTCAGTTCACCAAACCCTCTCATCACTCAGTGCCTGTGCCAAGGCTTTTTGCTTGCTCATTCCACCCAGTTCTGAGTTTCTCCTCACTTCTCTCCTATCACTTACAAAGCCTATTTGACTCCTAACTGGGAGCAATTAAGCTCTGTCAAGGATGCAAAACAGCTCAGGGTAGAGTGGAGTTCCCAGCCCAGCAAGATTTTGCTCCCCCAAATTTAGCTGCTGTTGGATGCCTTTTCCCCATCACTGGGTCTCCCACCACAGCAGGGCAGAGAGAGGGAGATCATTCGACTTTGGAATGGAATGGAACATAATTTCACTTCATGTTGCTCTCAGGTCATTGCAGAAAACTGGGCACCTTTGGGATAGGACTCCTCCTGCTGCTGATGTTTGAAATGCATCAGGTGCAGGTTTCTGAAGTGAGATGAGATGAATCCCATGCAGTGGGTCCATTTGCATGTGTATATATGGGGGTGGGAGGAAATAGAGCTGTTTGGTTAAATGCTGCAGTTCATCTTTTAGTGACAGGAGGGTGACATGCTGTAAGAGACAACACTCACCTGGGGCTCCACCATCCATTTTGGCGTAGGTCTCTTTCCAGTTCCAGGGTTGTAGATGTAAGCGGAGTACACAGGAATACGATTCTGTTTGTCATACAAGGTGGCAAAGAAACGCTGGTTTTGGAAGGTCTGGCAGATCCAGGCTCGGTTCCCTGGCAGGAGGCCATTTGTTGCGATCATTTTCTGGTAGAAAAACTGATCACATATATTTGAAAGGGACTGCACCACCTCGCCGTGTCCCAGCCAGAGGCAGCTCGCCCAGACCTGCAGCAGCAGCAACCGCAGCATCGTGGGAGGATTTC